CACTCCATGGGATCCTGGATTAGATAATCAACCCAGAGAGATTACAATTGGACCTAAGCAAAATGTTGGAGGTGATAGATTTGGCTCCTCCAAGAGAAATGTGGGGGGTCCAGTGATTTTTGGGATTTGCTGACTTCTGCATTAGAGGCCCCCACCATGACCCTCTTAAAAAAAGAGGGTTCACTTCCATTGGCCACCAGAAGCCCAGGCAGCTTTTGATCACCTCAAGCAGGCCTTCAACAGAACCCCTATGCATTCCACATCCCAATCCAGATCTCCCCTTTGTAGTGGAGGGTAAGATAGCCATATTGATACATTTGTATTGCTACAGCAGTGATTCTCAATATCATTAGCAGGGATCCTGGTTTTCTCAGATTTAAAAAAAATTCCCAATTTCAGTTAAAAAAGTCACCCCAAATCCACATTTTTCCACAATTTAAGTGAAACACCACTAATATATAGAAACACCGCTAATATATAATCTATATCTAATATCTAATAATCTAATAATCTATATATTAGTGGTGTTTAATTTTAATCATGGAAAATATGGATTTGGTGTGACTTTTTTAAACTGAAAATTGGGGATTTTTTAAAATCAGAGAAAACCAGGATCCCTGCTCATTAGACTTAAGGCACCATCTCTTAGACTCAAGGCACCACCCATTAGATTCAAACACACTTCAGAAAATGCCACCTCTTCACTTCCACTCATTTTTTTTTTTTACTACAGAAAAGTAATAAAGCAATTCTTTTATTGCAGAGATAGGACAGAATGTTTTCAACACTATGGATTTCTATGTGAAATATCTGGGTTTAGTATTGTGAATCACAAGTAGGTGTTTGCATACTGAGCAGTGCTAATTATTAGGGCAGTGCTAATTATTAGGTGACACCCTTAAAAGGGTCTCATGGCACCCTGTGTGAGAATCACTGCACTACAGGTTATGTAGACAAAACAATTACAATATTACAGCTTATATCAGTATCATTTACTATTGATAGAATTGCTCAGCAAGTCTACACTCTTTTACCTCAGTTTCTTTCTCTATAAATTGAGGGTAAGTTACTACCTATCCTTTGTAAAAGGAATTTGAGATCTACAAGTGCAAAATTGCATGTTAGAACTAGATGTTATATTATCTGAGCACCACAGTTTTGAATGGGAGTTTTGCCTATGCTAAGAGTGCTGAATCCAGTCTAAGCCTTTGTAAACGGGTAATAACATTTGTATTTAAATCAGTAGAATAACTTTGCTCTATTATATCATTAAAATATTATCTTTTAAATTTGTTTGAATAGGTACTTGGGGCGGGGGAAAGGCTTAAAAGATTAAAGACAGGCTAAAGGTGATATAATTTAATAAATCCCCTTTTGTATTTGGGCTAGATATCAATTAGTTCTGATTCTTCCTCAGTTTGCACCTGGTTAAAGAAAAGATGGCTTTGAATTTGATAAAGATTATTTGCTCCATCCCCACTGTGCTTCAGTAAATCTCAACTATATTTTAACCTGCCACTTGGGTATCGCATATATAGAGTGTTTAGCTCTGTGTGATCCTGAATTATCTTCTCAAAATAGACTTTATTAAAGAGATGAGTATTTTTACTGATATCTTTCTTTGTAACAAGCTGAGCCCTCTGGTCCTAATCGCAAAAGAATGTAATATCCAACAGTCTAATAAGAATATGAGATAACATGACATTAAGACGTATCTCATTTGTATGCTGTTGGCTCAGATTATTAACTTGGTTCTGTTTCAAGAAATGATTACAAAATTAATAAAAATATCTGCCCTTCAGATTAATTTTTCAAACAAATATATCAGTATCTTCTTAATGGCTTCAATTCCTGGTTTTTAAATCTTGAAGCTATTGTACTTGATAACAAACTCTCATAAAATCTCTAGAATGTGCACACATTTGAGAAATGCAAATTGTTTTCAGCCTTTATAGGAATCTGTAGTAGGGATAAAACCATGCAGAAATTGTTTATTGCACAGGGAAAAGGAATTTAAAGGAACAAAACTTTTCAAGGTCTTGTAAAGTTTATGTTCCCATTAAAGCAAACCTTATCACCACTTGCTGCATTACATTTGGGGAGTTTGAAGCAGCTTCCCTGTGGTTTCATTTGTTCAGGAAACATGCTAATGCTAGTTCCATGATTAGTGTTAGTGATTATGGAGTGTGTAGAATGAGATCTGGAAAGACTTTAAGAGGCAACTAAAGTCTGCAGTGTATAACACCATAATTCACAACAGTGTTCCCACTCCTGCACATACTCTGGAGAAGGAGAGGGAAGTGATTGGACAGTCCCAGAGGTGAAGGATTTATCTGGACTGGGGTTTTTCAACCACAGGCACAGTTGTATCAGAACTCTTCAGTAGGTAGAGTTGCCAGTTATAGAAAATGAGTGCTAGAAGTGACCTCAAGAGGTCATGTAGTCCAATCCTCTGCTCAAGAGAGGATCATACTTGTCTAAACCACGGACACAGTACTACATGCATGCCTTAACCTGCAGGCAAATGGTACGGAATCAATATCAGCTGTATACTCCAGTGTACTTTGAAGCAAGGGCTTGACTATGGATCCTTGGAAAGTAGTTTGCAATGTCTGGCTCATCTCTTGCACAAGGAAGAATCCTTTTCTAGCCAGACTATAGACTTTGGAAAGGACTCACATGGAAGATTCAGAAGAGAAGACAGAAAGCCAGTTTACTTTTCCACATGGCAGCTACTCTGCCACCCCATATTGTAATGTATATGTATATATATAAATTAATAGTTTACAACACACATGGGGTGATTTTAATAATCCATATGACATATGATGTATTATGCTATATGTATTATACATGTGTACCTGTTATATGCCTATACATACATACCACGGGTATGTATCTGAGTTTTGTGTGTTGTATTATGCTGTATTTAGTCATCTCTGGACTCATCCATGATTTCCCTATCTTGTGAAAGATTGAAGTCCTCATACTGAGGTACTGCCACAGACAATTATATATTATTGTGTATTATTATATATAGTATACTATATATGATATTATAGATGTGTGTGTATACATATGCATATAATGAACATATATAAGAACAGACAATTATAGGCAAGGCAGTGGAGCCAGCTTTATTCTGGGTGAGTAGCAGTTTACACTGGGAGCAGACATGAACAGCTTTGGCTACAGTGGGGTAGTCTGCTATTTAAGCTGCAGCAGGGTGTGAAAATCCTGCCCTCAGCTCCTGCAGGGGGAGATGGTGCCCTGAGCAGGCGGGTATTGTGCCCAACCACAGCATGGCTGAGCCTAGTCTGTTTCACCACTTGGTTTTCCCCTGCAGGAGTTTTAAATCCTGTTTTCCGGATTTGATGTCACAACAATTTGGCGGCGATGAATGTGTCGCAGGGCTTTGGTTTCAGAAACAAAAGGGACCAGGCCAGGCTTGGAGGTTTTGTTTTGATTAAGCTTTTCCCCCCCCCCAAAGCACCATCCTGTGTTTTAACCAAACTGAACAAGAGGAACAAATTCGTGATCCGCTCCTGCTGGGGGGCCAGTCACAGTGAGCACAGCTTCCCCTTTCCCTGTCTCCATCAGGATGATGGAGTTGATTATTGTTTTAACTGTGACCCCAGCCCAGCAGAATGCAGCATGTGTGTGCATCAGGCTTGTAAACACAGTGCGCAGACACCAGATGCCTACAGGGGACATGTTGCTGAGTTCCTCTGTAAGCAGCCCTGTCACTCAGCTGGTACAGCCTCGATCCTGCCTCAGAAAATGTCTCTCTCTCCTTAAACTCCAGACGTCCTTCATTAATATAGAGGGCTTTGTTTTTTTGTTTGGTATAAATAATGCCGCGTGCCTCATGGAAACCAACAGGGTGCTCTTCTTTTGCTAGATCATGCATGAAACAATAGTTTTCATGTGGTGGAGAGCTAGATCAGTTAACAAGAAGCATTGTGTATTTTAGGCTTAATGTACTTGATGAAAAATAAGGCCAGGAGAGAAGTCATATTCATGGGTGTCTTCTGCCCCCTAATTGCTGAAACAATAATCAAAAGCATGTCTTGCAACAGCACAATAGAAGTCAGCGGGATTTAGTTGCCTGTAGAAGGCTGATAAATCATACTTGTCTATACAGTAAGGAATATTAGAAAATTAGATGATTAACAGATGAGAAGTGAATTGCATAGGGTTTATAATATAAATAGTTGATTGATTACTGGCATAAAAATACTGTGCTCAAAAGTAATCTTACGGCCATTGTTAGGACCAGAAACTATCAAGCAAAAAGAATCTGCCTGCTATCACTGATCCACCCACAAAAACCTACCAGCCTGCAAAATAATGAAATGCTATCATTTGGTTTTGATACTCTGTTTGAAGTGTCTACTGATTTTTGGGCAATGTTGATCTCTTCAGTGCAGTTGATGGTGTCTGTGTTTAACATGCATGTGTGTAGTAAATCAGAACATCATCCACTTTTATCATTGCTGTCATGTTTAAAACTTTTTAACAGCTCGGTATGGGCATAATTAAGGAGTTTAACACCTAGCAGTTTGTTGCCACATAGCACAACAATTAACCCTTCTGAACTTGCTGCTTTTCAGAGTACCTATGCATTTCTCCCTCTAACAATTTTTAAGCCAAAATTTTTCCAGGCATATTCTTTTCTGTGCAGAAGCAAGCAAAATGAATCATACACCCAACACCCCAGACCTCTTCTCACCTGCTCCTATGCCAGCTTCAAGGGAGTATTGTTACAGAGCTTGTGGGACTCCTGCAGCACCGTATCTAGACTCCTGGGTGAACTTTTAGTATCGGGCCCCCTTCACCAGAGAAAATGATAATAATAATTAAAAAATTACTATTTTGGGGCCCCCTTTCTGTCTGGGTCCCAGGCAGCTGCCCAGTTCGCCCATGCCTATGTCCGGCACTAGACTCCTGCCTTCTCCCCTGCAGGATTAATCCCAAGGGAGTCTCATTAATGCGGCGTAATGAAAAGGTAGAAGAAAAGGGCAGTGATAACTCATGCTATGTATTGCTTATCTTAATGGCTAATAGTGTTGCCTCTCTGGACAGCCACAGCTAGAGCAGAGCCCACTAATATGGGATCATGACTGTTGTATGAGACCAGGATCCTTCTTCCCTACAGCTCCGTGCCAGGGTGCATTTGCTGAAGTACAGAGAGAGGCAAGAAGGATTGCTTAGGGACACAGTACCACACACATGCTTTGACCTGCATGCAAATTGCCCAGAATCATAGCTGCTGTGACAGTGTACTTTGAAACAAGGGCTTAACTATGGGTCCTTGGAAGAGTAGTTTGCACCAGTCTGGCTCAGCTTTTGCACAGGGAAGAATTCTTTTCCAGCCAGACTAGACTTTGGAAAGGATTTGCATGTAGGATCCAGAACAGAAGAGAAAAAACCAGTTTAAGGAATTCACCATGTGGCAGCTACCCTGCCACCCTGTCAATATGTACTGTATTTATATGTACATCTATAAATATATACATTTTATTTATGTGCAACATATATACATTAATAGTTCACAATACAAATGGGGGATCATTTAATAATACATACAACATATGGTGTATGCCTCATATATATTTGTGTCTGTGTTATATACCTCCACATATATACCATGAGTATGTACATGAACTTTGTGTGCTGTATAATTTATATATTCATGTAGCTCTTAAGATTGGCCTCGTCAGTCATCTCTAGACTCACTGCTGACTTCCCCACCTAGAGGAAGAGCAAAATCCCCATATTGAGGGACTGCAGCCCACAACTGGACCAACTGCATCCTGGGGAAAGAGGTTGTCGATGCCAGTGGTTCTCAAGCTTTGAAGACTGGAGGACCTGCTTGGAAAATGCCAGCTCTTGGTCCTCACTCTTTTTTGGCCTGCAGAAACAGAATCCAGCAGTTCTCCTGTTTCAAGGAACTCCCAAAGCCCGCTACGGATTCCTGTACGAAATCTCTGGGGGACCACAAGTGCATGCCTATCAGTGCTCACATGGGGTGACACCCTTGAAAGGCCCTCAAGGCACCCCAGGGTGCTGCAGCAGACAGGCTGAGACTCGCTGGTGGGCGGGCAAAAGGCACCGGCCCAAGAAAGCCTTGCTCTAGGCCTCTTACCTGGACGCTCCCGGGCTCACAGCACCCCTGAGCGCACGGACAGCGCCCCACGCCCAGCTGGAGGCCGAGTGAGGCAGGAGGGGCGGGGGGGGGGGG